TCTCTCTCTCTCTCTCTCGCCGCAGCGGTATGTCCAACGCAGCAGGTACGTAGTAACCCAATCTTGTATCGCTCAACCTTTCTCTCTCCTCCCTCTCTCTCTCTCTCTCGGTCTTCTCCTTCGTCGTGGTCTCTTCTGCAGGTGCGCGGCGGCTTCTCCAACCTCCAGGTCCGCTATGGCGGACTTCTTCTCGTGGCGGCCACCTCAGCTATGGCGCATCACTCCCGGCACACGACGGAGCACATGGAATAGCGGGACCAGCTCTGATACCAATGCAATCAGACTTGCTTTCATTCACACTTTACATGCATGCAAACAGTAGCGCAGCAAACTGGCGACATGCGCCCACTCAAAACTCAGAGATATGGCAACCCAGATATGAGTTCACTTTCAATGGCTATGGCGGCTCAGCGCCCAAACAACTCTCTGTTCGCATACACCGGATCACCCTGGATATCCCACACGCGTCTCTCTGAACACACACGCACACACACACTGAACACTAAACTCCAGCTATGGCAGCTATAGCTGCCGCTACCCTATCGCTATGGCTACACTTCGTCTTCCTTGCCCACTTCGTCTTTGGGCTCACTGCAGACCTCCTTGCACAAGTCGCTGTGGCAGCGCTTCCGCATGGCTCACGCAGGAATGAATGGATGGCTGGGCGCTGACTCTTGATTTATACTTCTGCAGCTCGTTGGTCTGACCCTTTTCCCGTGCCCGAAGTGCACACAGTCCCATGCGGTACTTGCTTGACTGACTGTTGACTCAGCACGGTAGACTTCTACCACTTGCCCACTTGCCTCACCACTTGGCCACTTGCCTCTGCCTAAACGTGGGCAACTTCGAAAGGCCACTACTGGGGCCTTCCGGAAGGCCGTAGACTTGGCCTTTCGCGACTGTAGCAGCTACGACTCTGACCCTTCTGGACTGTAGCAGCTACGACCTTGACCTTTCGGGAAAGCTACAGCTACAACGTCTAGACCTGACTAAGACTCCTACTCGACAGGTCTGCAGCTCGAACCCCTGCGACCTCAGGACCCTACGACAGCCTATCACTGTTACAAATACACAGGTCACGGGTTCAACTCTAAGGGTCGACGCTGGTACTATACACAGGTAAGGTTGGGGTCTAGGGATCGAACCCTGGGATCTGCAGCAGCTACTGCTAACTGGTGAATACCGTTTCAAAGGTAACACCCAGCACGTGTTCATTGTTCGTTAATTTATGAAATTTGGAATGTGTTTTCCTTCCTTCTGGCTGTGTACATTGCTATATTGTGGCAGGGCACACGACTGGGGAGCTCTCAACCCAAAGGCTGCTATGGTGCGTGAGATATACCCCACCCCAACGATTTGAATATGAAACAAAACAGATACTAGTCACTCCATCCGTGTTGCTCTCTGAATTATGTAATTCTACTAATTCAAGGATAATGGGCCTCGTGCCACCAAGGCCCAATGCTTTTGCAAATGAGCATCATCTACAAGAGTGTGAAAATGCAAAGCAGCACACAGCGTTGTACAACCTTGGTATCAACTTTCTTTTTAAATTATTTTTTTCTGCTCATCTGATAGCATCTGGACTGGAACTTGGGTCTGTATTTCAATGGTTCATGGGTGTACTAACTGGGCTAGGCTCGTTGGTAGCTTTGTATTGACATGACTCATGCAGCTCCCAGCATTTGTGATTGGTAGATGATGCACAACTCCAGACCCGTCCTTTCCACACTATTACCCTTCTTGTCTTTTTTTTTAAGTGGTCTGATGTAGCCTTGGTCTGGGAAGTTGAACCCCCAACTCTCTCTCTCTCATATTCCCCTGCCCTCCCCCCCTCTTTCCCTCCCTGAAAAGGAACAGGAATTGAAGCATATAGAGATTGGCTAGCCCCAGTGATACATGGGACGAATATAAAGTTACTATAAACACATCATGTCAGTGGTCGGGTGCACAAAAAAGATAAGTAAGCCAAAACAGAAGGTAACTTTCCAAAGCTACGAACCATGCAGTGAAGCTAGAGCCTCATGCACACTGAAACGGTTCCTCATGACTTTCTCTATGAAGTTCTTTGTTTTGTTTCTCTCTTTTGGCTTTTTCATGGTTCTCTTTTTAATAATTTTTATTTCTTCTTTTAACTGTCCCTTTACTGTGCCTCTCAGGTAGAAGACTCACCGTGAGCTCCCTACACCCCATGTGTCATGGCGGGCCACTTGCACACCGTAAGAAAGGGGCAGAGTGACGAGAAAGGGGAGATGTAGCAAAGGAAGACAGGGGGAACGTTTGGGCCAAGGATGAGATGTGTGATGACATGGAGGAACTAGCTGAGGATTTTCATAACAGCAGTTTCCATGACCCATGCTCACGAAACACTCCTGACGAATGGCACAGGCCAGGGCAAAAGAATAACAGGCATTACAGAGGAGCATGCACCCATACTAATGTATCTGGTCTCAAAACGGACCTATGATGTCCAGGTGTGTAGGGTGCACATTGTCAAGATAGGAAGGGAAGCCCGCGTTGCTGCAGCAACCCTGGCACTATAGTCATTCTGTCAAAGACACATGCAGCCCGGTGTAACAGTATCTGTAGCCATCCAGAGCCAAAGGTTGCAGAGAGTTGACACATTGCCCTGCTTTGGCACAGGGGAGACAAGTAATCCTCAATATTAAGGAGTGTCCAGATGGTTTGCTGGGGAAAGAAAACATCCTTGTTGCAAAGCAAATTGCTGGCATTGATCATGGCATGGATGGTTTGCTCAAGTTTGCTGATGATCAAAATTTTGGAAATCACTGACGATCGATAGCAGTCCCATAGATCGTGTGAAAGTCCAACCGGTTATATTGGTATTTAGTATTTAGTATTTAGTATTTAGTATTTACTATTTATCTTTTTCTCTTTTTATTTTATTTTAATTTCTTTTCTTTTCTTTTCTGGGTGAAACACTAGGCTCAAGGCGTAAAAAAAATTGGTCAAGCTAATAGACGAAGGTAGATTGTAGCTATGAACAAACAGCCGTCAAGCTTGTCAAGTTCTGACGGCCACATGCCTCCGTCTGTTCTTCGAGAGTCTTCCATCACTGTTGTCGCCTTCAACCATGTTGCCCCAGTCACCTTCTGATGCAGCTCTCTTCCTCCTGCCCAAACTCACCTCCCACCACCTTCGTGGGAGAGGAACAACACCTCCCACCTCCTGTTGGTCATGGTGCTAGCCAAACGCTAGCCATGCCTCCTTTGCCAACATGCAAAGGCGCTGTAGGAGCACCCCCGCCTCAATACACCATGCAGAGGATGGCATGGTACAACCTCGTGGAGCCCGCCGACGAGTTCCATAAAGGGTTCGAGCAACCAAAGGTGCTGCATAACAGCCGCTGGAAAACAGAAAGTGAGGGGCACAAGAGGGGTTACAAAGAAAGAAGGCGCCCCAGAATGGAAAATGATCCACCACCAACTGGGCTAGCTCAGCTGGTACACCCCTGAACTGTTGAAATACAGACCCGAGTTCGAATCCAGATACAATCTAATGACCGGAATAAAATCATTCTGAATTACCTGGGGCTGGTCAATTGGACGATGATATCTCAAGGCCGTCGCACTTTAAAAAAACAAAAATACATAAATTAAAAGTGGCCCTCCTCCGTCCTTTGGGACATCCGTTAAAATTGGAACGATACAGAGAAGATTAGCATGGCCCCTGCGCAAGGATGACACGTATAAATTGAGAAATAGTCCAAATTAAAAAAAATAAAAATAAAAAAATGGCCCTCCTCCTTTTGACGTTATCAGTCCGTTAGTCACTCCGCTCTTCCTTGCTCCTTCAGCTGCGTATGTGCATCACCAGCCCAACAATAAAATTGTGGAAAAGAAGGGCTCCATACCACCCTCTAGCTGACCAAAAACGCTCACTCTCAATGAAGAAGGCAACTCGATCCGCCAGATGCCATACTTACCTTGTCATCCATGTACTTGGAGGGGTAAAAAGCTGCCACAGTCAGCCCTCGGTGTGACCATCATAAGTAATGTCCAGGGAAGTCTGCAGACATCCACAGTAGCAGAAAGCTGGGCGACTATGCCCACCAGGTCGTCAAGGATGTGGACCTTCGCCAGAGCTTGCACACAGGAAGCTATCTTCTCCTTGACCTCCCCCTTTATCATAGTGGGGATGGCCTGGATAATTGTCAGGCTCTAATTAAGAGCTGCCCTATCCCTGGCTTCCCTCTCTTGCTTCTTCCTTTGCACTGCCCTATGAAGCGGAGCTTGGAAGTACGTTTTTCCTGCATCGTTAAGTGCTCTCATCATGACCTCCCATTGGATGCCATTAAACCACCAGTACTTCCTAAAGTTGTGGCTGTTAACGCGCAAACCGCCGGCTGAATGAACGGGGCACATGGAGAGCACCCAAATTCATCCGACTAGAAAGTAGAAACGCTTCCACTTGAATTTTTCCCGCGGATGATATAGGGCTGAAGTACTGGCGGTTGGGAGGATTGCGGGTCAACAGATCTCTCAAGAGGGGCGTTCTCTTTCTTTAGCCTCCAAATGACACTCCTCTACCCCTTCCTCACTCTCTCAAGAAAGATACCCTCTTTCTCTCTCTCTCTCTCTCTCTCTCTCTCTCTCTCTCTCTCTCTCTCTCTCTCTCTCTCTCTCTCTCTCTCTCTCTCTCTCTCTCTCT